TTTGGACAACTTTAAAGGCGATTTTCTCAGTATTTTGATTTTTTTTTTTTTTTGCACCCTCAGATTCCAGATTTTCAAATAATTGTATCTCAGCCAAATAATGTCCCATCTCATCTCAATTTTAAAAAATTGACCCTTATGACTGGTTTTGTGGTCCAGGGTCACATTTTATGAATAGTTACACAGGTTCCAACGGCCTTTATATGCGGCAGCATCATTTAAAATCTAAAATATGTGCTGTTAGAGTCGCTATAATGAAACTGTATGTGCAGATATCTTTTACGAACAGGGTGCGGACTGCGGAGGACTTATTTCTATGACAAATAAATAAACAAACTAACTTTTTTAGATTATTTAAAAAATATATTTCCTTGTTTTATTGTTGTGATTATTTTTTATGATAATTTTAATTCCTTTTATGTAAAGCACTTTGAATTACCATTGTGTATGAAATGTGCTACATAAATAAACTTGCCTTGCCTTTTGGGTCGTGATCCATTCCATAACAATTGAACAACGGCTACAATACATGCGCGTGATATTTGACACCTGTACACCTGGGTGAATTGTATTAATTCACTCAATAGAAACTAGTGAGGGAATTAGGTTATTCTAATGCCGGGGTCCTATCATTCAAAAATCCCGACCATTCAGAAAGTGCTCATTGATACAGCTAATGACTGCTGGTGAGCTAGCAGGCTAACTCAGTTGTGTCAAAATGACAAGCACGAGGGGCTGCTGCTGTAGTTCACGGGCACTTGGAAGTAAAATCACGACTAATTTTCCTGTTATATTTAAATACTGGCAGCGCGCTAACTGCCACTTCCGTGTTTAAGGGAGGATTTGGCTTTAGCCCTCCACAGCTAATAGAGAAAACGAACTACTTGAGAACTTAGTACGTGGTGGTATATCAAACCATCTAATACAATAAACTAATGGCAGTGTGCTATCACAATAAAAGTTATAGAAAAAGTGTGTACAAATCAGATACTTACCAAATGAACGGGCACTTGCGTGTTCGACGTCTTGTTAGCTTTGCAGCTACGAGCAGATTTGTTTTGCTTCAATGCATGACTCAGAAGGGAGCAGCACTGCTGACAGCTTCGGCTGGCTGGTCTTGGTCTTCACACAGACTACCAGTTTACTTGTGAATAGAAAGAAAATAATGTTCGTATATGCTAAGACCTGAACGTGTTAAATAATGCCACATAACTCGATGGGTTACGTCTCCGATGTCTTTCTCAACTACATATAGTATTAGTGTTGTTTTAAAACTTTCTGTAATTCCAGCGTCTTCTTGTCGATGATACGTCTACAGTACCGGGTGTACAGTAGAGACTCAAAGTAAAATGTTATGTTTTGCGATGTCATTACCACAAGAAACTTGTCCGCCTAGAGGTCTCCTGGATAACTGTACAGCACCGCCAGGAAGACCAGTAGAAAATGCATGTGCTTTTTAAAAAAAAAAATTTATTTAGTCATTTAGCAGACGCTTTTATCCAAAGCGACTTACAAATGAGGACAATAAAAGCTGTCAAAACTAACAAAAGAGCAACAATATATAAGTGCAAATGACAAGTCTCGGTTAGCCTAAGTAGCAAGGTGTGTGTGTGTGTGTGTGTGAATTCCAGAGACCAATAGAAAAAGAAAGTAGAGTATTAGTAGACATAGGCAAAGTGCGTTTTTAATAGGCATGTGTAGCCTTCATTGAAATAGCCGCGTTATTATACATGTACATTTAGTCATTTAGCAGACGCTTTTATACAAAGTGACTTACAAATGTAATATAATGTATATATATATATTTATATATATGTAATTATAGTAGGTGCCATTCTGCGGTTGAGGACTGAGGACCCCCCAAAAAAATCTAGCCACTAAAACTGCCATGTGATTATGAAGTTGACAAATTACATACAGATCTCCTACTGAAGCCCGTAGTGATGGTGAGCTGGACTGTCATACCAGTAACTTTCTAGTTTCATAACAAATAGAATTAAGAAACGTTTAGTTAGTTTGTGAAATAAAATATTTATCTCAATCTGAATTTCATTTCATTACCTGCACCATATCATAACAAGAGGCATCTGCAAATAAATGATGCTAGAGCCAACTTTACTTTTCTGAGGAACTTTTTCCAATTATTTTTAATTGGTCCTTGGTCTCAAGGACATTTTCATTGATCTATTTCTCAAATCAGTTCTCCGCATGTTCACACAGGTGTCCTAGTAGAATAAACACCTGTGTAGTTCATATTAACAATAAACATTATTCACCAGCAGAAAGTGTCTTATTCTTTATATATTAATTTTAAGCAAAGTGTGCAGTCTTTTGATGTTTTGCAGTTTATATCATTTTATTTGATAAAAAATACAAGAACGGTCATATTGTGATATACTATTATACTTTAAAATAACTGTTTTCTTTTTGAATATATTTTAAAATATAATTCCTGTGATTACAAAGCTGAAATTTCAGCAGCCCTTCAGTGTCACATGATTCTTCACAAATCATTGATTGGTTCTCAAGAAACATTATTATCAATCTTGATGACTGCTGCTCAATATTTTTGTGGAAACCATGATACATATCTTTCAGAATTCTTAAATAAATGAAAGGTTCAAAAGAACAGCATTTATTTTGAAAAGATAATACTATAAATGTGTTAAACCACAACATAACTTGTCTTCAATTAATCACAAGGAGATATTCTTCATCATGAGGTAAAGCCATTTGAAGAGTGTTTATTTGGTACTCTGGTGAAAATGGATGTAACAAGATTAACTAAGAAAAATCAGGTTTGTGAAAAGAAGCTAAAATGAAAAAAAAAGAGATTTGAAAACGAAAGTATATGCCTCTGTTTAAACACTGTTTTGACACTATATTTTTGATATAATCATACATTTGGTTCATTTGACATCTCTGCTGGCTTTGCATTGAAATGATGCATTCGAGGCACTGAGCTCACTGAGTTTACATAAAGATTGCTGAGTGTCTATATCCAACCAGCTGTGCAACTTATTTGGAACTATACAGTAGTGCCTCTCACAAGTGTCTGGTTTTAAGCATCATATATAACTTTAACCATCTTCATACAATATATCTCTGTCAATATCTTACACAAATCTCCTGACACATGTCTCATTTACAGCCCTTCAGTCATATTGGAGTTGCTCTCCATTCTTTCCCCTCAGTGAGTGCGCGCGGTTGGTGGATGAACGCGTTGTATCGCACACCCTGGTTAGCAGCAGCGCGAACGAATCCGCTATTCGCAGTCATAGTAATGGCCCGCAGGGTGTCCCCTGTCCCAAAGATCATCAGTGATCTACGGTTGACCTTTGAGCTCATAACCAAGCGTTGTGTGCGCTCAGACGGCTGATCCGGAACTACTTTGAGCCTAGCTAGCAGCTCCTCCGCTCGGGATTTTTCCACCGGGCCTCCTAACGTATCCAAGATAACGCGGAAATCCTCAACCGCAGAATGGCAAGCAAACAGCTCTTTTCCCTTCATGAACTCCTCCAGCCGGGGCAGGACCTTCTCTTGGCGCTCCTGTGCAGCCTGCTCTGTCAGCACCACTTCCTTAAAAGTGAAGTGACAGTTGCCGTGGCTGAGGGACGACACATACGTGATCAAAGTGGTGATGTCAAGGTTCACCCTGTTGCACACGTCCACCTTCACTTCAGTGGGGAAGGCAAGGCTGGCCACAATGGTGTCTCGATCAACACGGGTGTGCATGAGGTCTGTATCGTCACTGTCGTCGTCGTCATCATCATCATCATCCTCCTCCTCCTCCTCTTCTTCCTCAACCAAAGCTTCATTCTCTTCTTCCTCTTCCACACAACCATGTTTGTCTTCACTGTCTTCGTCCTCTTCCTCCTCTCCACCTTCGATTATTGTATTAACAGCAACAATGTCACCTCTCACAGAGATGCCCATCTCTTTGAGCTTGTCAGCCATAGGGCTTGAGACCCCATTGTAGAAGGCAAATATGATGTGAGGGTTGCTGTACTGCACTGGCTGCTGCCGACTGGCCTCAAGGAAATCTTCTGCTTGTCGTATCACGCTTTTATCTCCGTACTGGCCACGGCCTTGCCAGATGTTGTGCAGCGCCTCCGCCTTGCGCCCGATGGCTTTCACCCAAGTGTGTCCACCGTTCGCCACCACGTCGACCACCAAAGTCTGCTTCTGGCTGTCAGGGCCCTCGTAGGCGAACACGTGCAGGACGCTCACCACATTCTCTAGATTCTCGGCTGATTCGACGATGGCCCTCAGATGAGTGAGATTGGTACTTTGCAGGTGGGACTCCTTGATCACAACCTTGCCGGCCTCCACCTTCTGCAGGAACTTGAGCTCAGCCCGCAGGTTACTGCAGAGTTTAGCACGTCCCTCAACCTCACGGCCTTGGCGACTGCAAATCTTGTCCACTCGCTCAAGCAGCTCCTTGGCTACTCTGATCCGGTCCTGCAGCGTGTTGTAAGTTGCCATTGCTGTTGAACATTATTCCTACAGAATGAGAAAGAAAAAGACTTAAATAATGACCACAGAACTGTGACAACATGTGTATGTTTGTATACTACATTTATGAATAATAGCTAATGCTTAGAATTCCTAAAAAAATCAGTTTTACATAGAAAATTACAATTGAAGGAATAGTTCAACCAAAAATTTTAATTTGCTGAAAATGTACTCACCCTCCGGCCATCTAAGATATAGATGTTAATTATAAACCACGGATTTGTTCCTTACAAACATTCAGCTTTTCATTTCACAAGACTTTAATTGATGGACTAGAGTCAAGTGGATCATTGTGATGTTTTTATCAGCTGATTGGACTCTCATTCTGATGGCACCCATTCACTGCAGAGTGATGTAATGCTAAATTTCTCCATCTCTGTTCAGATGATGAAACAAACTCATCCACGTCTTGGTACACATACAGCAAATTTCCACTTTTGGGTGAACTGTTCCTTTAAATCAACATAAGCGTTTGAAATCTAGAATTTTCTGGGTCTTGTATGATTTAAACAGAAAATTGAACGGAGATGAACAAGACCTCCCGAGATTTCGCTTTTTAAAATAAACCATTAATGGCAGCAAAAGCAAGATACAGGACTATTTTAAGTAGTAGAATAAACAAACATCATAGTACTTAAAATGAGAAGGTCTATAAATATGAATAAGTTCACTAAGGCGTGGTTTTAGCGCAACACTACTGGATAATACATATATAAACATAAAGCCTTCTACACATTCTTACGAGAATATCAATCAGTGCCCAGATTATCGCGTTGTTTTTACACACCGGCTCATAAATACGTGGGCTTGTCAGCTTGCTTGGTTAAAGCCATGGTTTTCTACATACCAGTGACATTTTTTCCTGTTTGCTTTAAATAAGAGAAGGATAACAGTTGACCGTTTAAGTGAAGAAAAGCGAAGTTATCCGGAAACTATGAAATACTTACAGCATATACAGGTTCAAGTTCTGCCTCTTCTGTTGTGGGCTGACGCTTTTCATCCACGAAGTAGAGGAAAGTAGTGCTGTCATAAAGAGTTTGTGTCGCCACCTAGCTTGGAGGTTATGAATTGTGTGACTTGTTAGTGAGTTGCAGTAGTATACAAATTATTGTTCATTTCCCCTTGAGACAAATTAGGAACAAACGTAGCCTATTGATATTGTGGAATTTTATATTTTGAAGATGTATTTTACATGTAAATTTGAAGATGTACTTGACATCTAAATTCCATATTCTTAGTCTATTAGTCGATTTTCTTTACTAAGTCCTCCATTGCATTACATTGTATAAAAATAACCACTATGGCAAACCGTTTTAACATTTATTCTTTTAAAATTACTAGCATCTATTTCTATTTTACTACTACTATTATTGTTATTATTATTATTATACTAATAAGAAGTTCAGTAGTAGGTTAGTAGCATTTTTTTGTTTCCTATCTGATGACAAGTAAATAATAATGTAATGACTAATCAGAATAAGTATGTTATTGTTCAATCAAAATCTTACCACTGAGATTAAATTTGTTGTATCAACTGGAATATAGGCTACATTAGAGAGTTTTTAATAAATAATTGTAATTATAGATATGAACTTTTTTGGCTATCTAAGAAATAAGTAGGCCTACTAATAAATAGTAAAACTAAAATGTCTGAGCAAAATTAGTCATTAATAAAATGAATGACAATTTGCAATTGTAGTAGCAATGGAATATTTAGTTGTCAATTTATTGAGATAAGTACAGTGACTAATGGAATATATATAAAACGTGGCACTACTAGACACTACCTTTTGTAATAAAAGGTTTCTTATGTAACCTGACTTTTAAAAATCACTTTTATTAAATCACTTTTATACAAAGCAGTTTGAATTAAAGGGGTCATATGATGCGTGTAACACCTTTAAAGGGGTCATATGATGCTTGTAACACCTTTTTCTTTGAAAGCTTCTTTACAAGCTCTTGGTTCATAAAGAAGATCTGTAAAGTTGCAAAGACTAAAGTCTCAAATCCAAAGAGATATTCTTTATAAAAATTAAGAGTCAACCACGCCTACCTAAAATGGCTCGTTCTAACACGCCCCCACATGTCTACGTCACGATGTGGGAAGATTTGCATAACGCCGCCCAAATGTTCACGTAAAGAAAGGCGGCGTAACTTTTATTCTCGCTGTAGTATTGTTGACGCTGCAGCCATGTCGTGAAGATGCTGTGTGCTTCGTTGTGAAAGCGAAACTACTTTGTTTGGTCTTCCAAAAGAGGACACAACTATAAATCAGTGGTTAAGTTGTATTTACAACACTGTTCCAGAACACTTCAACCCAAATATTCAGATGTGTGCAGTGCATTTTATGGAGGACTGTTTCCTGATCCTGGTAGAGTAGACTACAATTCCGGCTGTTCTGACTCACAGACTGTAAGTATGTTTTCATTTTAAGGATTTGCCACTGATGATTCAAACGCGGGTTTTGGGCAGTGTGGATTAACGTTAGCACTTGTTGTTTGTCATTTCTCCGATCACAAATGCAGACATGGTTTTATGTTTACGCGGCGCGATGCAACGCAACGCGTAAAAAGACAGTGTAAGTCATTATAATCCGTAATTATGTCCCTACTGGATGCAACAAATGCCTCGTTTGTAATGGGTTTTAATGTTTATGTCTCGTCGCTCCGGCTGGACATGGCATCAACAGTTGTGAGGGGCGTAACATTTCCGTCTCACGCTTGAGGTATTCGGCCAATCATAACGCACTGGATAGCTGGCCAATCAGAGCACACCTCGCTTTTCAGACCAATGAGCTTTGTAAAAATCGATGCATTTCAGAAAGGCGGGGCATAGAGGAGAAACAATAATGTACAGTATGTGGAAAATAATGTGTTTTTTGAACTTTAAACCGAATAAACACATTTCATTACACCAAATACACAAAATAATGTTCTTTTTAGCAACATCATATGACCACTTTAACATTGTGTATGAAGTTAATTGTGTACTATATAAATATAAACTTACTTGCCATACCCAGGCTACTACTATATAGTGAACCGCTATAGTAAAATAGAAAAAAATAGTAGTTACTAAGTACTACAGGCAATTAAAAATATGTACTAGTAATATAAAAATAGTTTTCATTCAACAATGCATGTTAAAACGGCTTGCCACAACATTAGACATCGTGGCTTTAAAAGCATTGCGTTACTGTACAGGAAAGAGGGAGGATATTAGGTCAAAGTGACTCGCGCTCGCAGCAGACTCTCATGTACTCATGGTAACAGATTCTGCAAGAGCGTATGCGTGCTCCTGACGCAACAAGTATCTGGTTTCCAGTCTCTCCTTTGGATGACTGGCTGTCTGGAGACGAAGAGCTTTTAACATGAAGAAAATGCATAGCCAACACTGTATCTGAAGCAATACAGTTTTAAAACTGACGTTTGTGGAACTGCGTTGAGTTTTAACCGATTGCATAATAGTTGGTCAGACTTTTGCCATTATTTCTACTTTTCTAGTTGCATTACAGGATCGAACTGTATCTGGAAGCAGTCTTTGGCGGATTTTCATCACATCTTTTCTTCAATCGTATGTGTTTTACGCATATGGATACTTTTCCGGAGCGCAGACGGTAGATTATGCATTCCACAGGATGGGTGCGAACAATGGGAAACAGAGCGGGAGTGAAGGTGAGTGCCAGAATCAAACTCACAGCCAGCCACAATGCTGCTTTTCCACTGTTAAATCTCGGTGTACAGCAGCCATAGTTGTGTCAACGTCACTATTCCCCCTTATTCTTTGTGGGCAACACTAGCTTTGCAGAAATCTCTTGTATCAACTATATTTTAGAGCATACTTGTCATTTTCTGGTTTTGATACATTTTAAGGGACCCTTTAAACTTGCAGTTAAAAGACTTTCTGATGTTTCTGGCATTAGGCCATTAAATACACATATCGCATGAATATATATAATAGAAATATATATTATGTCAGAATAATTATAATTCTCCCACATTTGTTTGAACTGCATTTAGCTAGATTGGACCGAGGAAAGCCCTGGTGCTTAAATAGTTAATTTTCTGCATAGGAATATAGAATTCATACATTAGAATGTCACCATTAGCCTACTTAAAACATGCCTAAAACAAATGTAAATGTAACATTATTCATTGTTTTTAATGTTTGAGAATTTTAGTGTTTATGCTTAACAATCCAGCTATAAATCTAAATATTTATAATTAAGTGCCTTACATCTAATTTTTGTTGTCCAATTCATTAAGTATAAATGCACATGAAATGCCTTCTCTGTTTACCTTTTGTCACAGACAAAAAGAAGATTTTGTTGCTGCTTTAAAAAGGAAGCATTGTTCTTAAAGCAGATTTATGAGAACTAAAGAGCTTTAGGTTTGGAGCTAATAAGAAATGAGTCTGTGCCAACATCAGAGTGCACAATGCAATGGTTTTACTAAAGTAACCATCAACAGAGGGTGTGTGTACTTCAATAAGCTGTGAATCATGGCCTAACACATACCATCATTTTAGCTTGTGGGCAGATTTCTGCATTTTTCCCCCAACATATAGGAATATGACAGCGATTAGAGATCAGGGCAGAGACTGTCCAGTGTCCATTAAAATATTAATGTTGAAGGTTGCTACTGATCATGTCCTAATAACCATGAGCATTCATGCCAGAGATTTTGCTCTCACAGAGTGAGTTCTTGGCTGCGTGAGAGACTTGTGGTCTTTTAAAGCACACCAGATTTCTCTGGAAGGTCAAGGTTTGGCCCTCAAGACTGGCATTCAGTGAGAAAACCAACAACTCCCCACACGCAGCTCTCCAATTTACGTATTTCACATATCACAATCTTTTGCAATGTTTGCTGTTATCTTTCGCTGTTGAGATCCTTACAAAGTTGATGTTGTCTACTGATTAGTTTAGCTATTTCTACTTAGGACCTCCCTTGATTTAATTAAACATAATTAGACAAGATGATGTCTGTGTTTCATTCAAATGCACTACATTAAAAACTGCAATTTGTAAGTCAACAAATAGTAAATATACACTTTTCCACATTAAGTGGTATTTAAGTGGCTTCAATGCATTAAATACTTAGTATTATAGTCTCACTTGTGAGATGTTTTTAAATAATTCCAGTTTTTCATTTTTTTTCTGTTTTTCAGCATTGGTTTTTACAAACAATACAGTATGAGCATTTAATGCATCATGAATGCTTTAAAGCAAATGTTTGTTCATGTTTAATATGAACCTCTAACAGAGAGAGTCACAGTCAAATACCATATTTTCTTCCTCAAAATAATATCAGGATGTTCTGGATCTATTCCAGTGCAACCATTTTTTTTAACCTAAATAAGTTATCCAAAGGAAACCAGTCAAACATATAGTGAATAATAACAAAATAAATCAAGCCAACACCAAATAATACAATGATTGTCTTAAGGATGCTAAAAGGGCCTTTATTTTTTAAGTGTTCAGTCACATACTGTAGATGAACATAGAACTTATTTGGTTGGTTTAAGGCTTTTATGTAATTGTAACACTGCAATCTTTGGAACTGGTTTAGAGAGTCTTTCTATCTAACATTTGTACCTTGCATATAAAAAGATATCAGTTAAAAGTCCACACTGTTTTTATTATGAATATCTTGCTCCTCATAAAGTAAGCCTGTATTCAGTGTTCTCTCCATAATCATAAAAAGCGCTTGCTTATTTTTTCAAATTTCATGCGAATCATATGGTGGAGCATCTATGGCAATAGCTTTGTAGAATTCCATCAATGCCATGTTCGTTCAGTCAATTAATCTCATTAGCAATGAAGCACATTCTTCAGAGACAATGAACAATAAACAATGCATATGATGTAACCAGACATTGCATTCAAGGTGAGTGTCTGAGCAGATTCCACTTTGGTTCACTGATTTCACTGATCATTTAAAAAAACGGGCCTGAACTGTCTTTAGTGATATCACTAGAAGACTATTTAGTGAAAAACAGGTTTGTTTACAGAGCAAAACACATTTTTTGCTCAGCATGTGGAAGCTCCATCAGTCAGGCCATTTATAGTAAAATAAAAGCTTATGTGAACTCGGGTTGTGTTTTCTCTCTCATCGAGCCTGTAAACATGCCTCATATGTGACCTGATGCTCTCAAGTGCCATTGAAACAAACAGGAGTGTTTAGGAAACTTTCACACCAGGGCATGTTGTTTTAGGTTTACCGTTATCCAAAAAAAACAAAAAAACAAATACATTTGTTCTGCTGGTTATTGGCAAAATAAATGTGGAATCAGCACGACTAATCAAACTGCAAATACAAAGAAACATGAGGCTTAGGTTTACTATTGTGTCTTTCCTCATTTGGAATCAACTTTTTCAGATATTATAAAATAAAAGACTTCTCATGTTGCATTCCAAAAAATGTCATCATCACCAAAAAAGTTATTTTGGCTTCTAGTTTTCTAGTAACTTTTATCATCTTTATATAACATGGAATTTTTTATGTGATCAACTCAACTGAACGGTACCTCATCTTGCACTCTTAATTCAAATTTAGTAAATTTAGTTTTTCCGTAATGTGATTTGTAAAAAGCTTCAGCTTTCTTTTTTTTTCTTGTCCCTGCCATTGGGGAGTCTCTGTGGGAGGCATCTGGTTTGTTATTCTAAGTTTGTGATGGACAGAAAAAGAATGCCTGGCATTTATCGTAAGATTTGGTGAACCCTGTTGCATTCATTTTTATTATAGGCCTATTTATGTTATTTATGCACGCTTGACAGATAAAATAAAGTCTTGATATTTAATGCTGTGTTTTGTGTATTGTGAGCATTGTATATGTAGAGATGTGTAAGTATGCTAAATATAAGCTCTTTGCATACAGTATCTCTTTCTATGGCTTTTGCTTTTTGAGGCTAATATGTTGATTCTCTATTGGTGTTGTTGCTCTGGGTGTCCTGATGTGTCCTGGGGTGTTCTTTGTGATTTTAGGGAAAGGCAGTTCCAGTATTTCCTCCGACCTGAGTTCAAGTACAGATCAGACATCAACCAAAGCTCCAAAGAATGCAGCTACCAGTGAAGGTAGGCATATGGTCTTCATTAACCATCACTAGCTAGCCTTTTGTTTTTTCTTGTTTTGCTCCTTTTGACTTGTTGATTATTTTGGTGGACTTTTTTTTGTGAGGCTATAAAAACTTAAAAATAAACTGGCCATCACAAACACTCTGGAGTTTTTTTTTATCCCTTTTCTCTTTTTCATAATCTAGTCTCCAAATCTAATTCAAATCCATAGTGGTGTTTAGAGTTGCCTCGGAGGGAAGAATCTGATTGGGTGTGTTTGGGTGAATTGTGTGAATGTGGATGAAAATAAAAAGACAAATGCTGGGGATCTTGTGAGGGTGGCTTTTGAGGCCCTTTTTCTTGCAAGGCTTTCTTTGTTTATTATTCTGGGTGGGATTTATTAGAACACAGTTGTTGGTATGATTCTGCTCTCATCATCATACCCAGAATAAACAAATGATGATTCCAAACAAACCCCATAATGTCAAAATTTGTGTTTTGTGGCTTTCAGTTCAAGTCTGTTAGCTTTGAGGTCATATATACACTACTGTTAAAAGGTTTAGGGTCATTAACTTGTATTTTTTTCATTCAGCAAGGATGCAGTCTATTACATTATATGACATTTTGTGACATTTACATGTTACAATAATGTATTTCAAATAAATGCCTTTTATAAATTTCTATTATTTACTTTGTATCTATAAAAAAGTTTCCACAAAATATTAAGCACCACACTGATGATAATAATAAGAAATGTTTCTTGAGCAGCAAATCAGCATGTTAGAATGAT